CCCCCATCGGCTCCAGCTCACCACCAGGTGGTGATCAGTTGTCAGCTCCGCCCCTCTCTTCACCCGAGTGTCCAAGTGTCATTATTTCTAATTTGTTAATTTCTTTAAGTGTCTCTTAGATATTTTGGCTGTGTTAGCATTTGGTTGTCCAGTGCTGCATCTGAGATTAGACTCGGGCAATTGAAGGGACCCAGGTGGACGCATGGAGGTCTGCTCAGCTGACGACACAGAGTTTTATTTTATATCTAGTACTAATGCTACTTAAAATGGCAGCTCATTCGCTGTTCTCCACTTCACAACCACTCAAGTTTTCCTTTGGTTTAGAGTTTGTTGTTCCATCGTTAATGGTGGCCCTTTGACACTCGGGGCACTGACACATGCGCAGTAGCTCATAAAGCAATTGTTTCGAACCACTGTGCCGAGGCATGTTTTGGTCACATGACTACTGACGTTTGAATCACTTGAGTGACGTCCGAAGCAGTTGGGTTCGTCGGACATCAGGTGAATCAGATGATTGGTTTGGTTTGTCATGTGACTCACTTTGGATCCAGTGTGTTCAGAGATAGGATATCCCTATTTAGTGGCATTCATTTGAATCTGTCTTTGCAGAGCAGGTTGGTTTGTTGCTGTTGTTGCCGTTAGTTGCTTTGAGAGTTAGAAGTGTTGTAGCAGATTGTGTATTTAGTGGAGAATCACTGTAGATATAGAGATAGGTCAATAGATAGATAGATAGTAAGTTAGAGAGAAATGGATAATAGTTACATAGTTAGATAACACTAGATATAGTTACATAGATAGTCCTAAATGACGTTAGATATAGATATAGATATATTACCTATATAGTTAAAATATATATATAGATATAGATATATTACATATATAGTTACCCAAACCTCTATGAATTATCCAAGCATTTCCTCTGTACCCCAGCCTCATCTGTGCCATGTGAACGGGTTTTTTCCAAGGCTGGGGAAATAGTCTGTAAAAGGAGAAGCTGCTTGTGTCTGAAAACTGTGGATATACTGTTATTTCTCAATAAAAACTCAAACAATTACACAAGCACACCCACTGCGAATTTGTAGACCACATCTCATGAACGTAGCAGCACCATTTAAATGTCTTCATAACACAAAATATAAGTGAGGAGTATATAGGGTTACAGTCAGACGTGCCACATAAGAAATGTGGTCTTCAACATGTGTCCATATTTATTTTATATTTTATTGTGTCAGCTTGAAACCATACAACCATGTAGTGTAGTCGAACAGGAATGTGCATGGCGAATCAAATCCCAATCTATGAAGCAATAAGTGACACGTCTTGACTGCATTTCAATTTCTTGACCACTAGATGTCCTACTTGAGCACTGTGTCATTGAGGCCTCGAGTAATGAACCATTTGTGTGAACACTGTGTCGAAGCTTCAACAAGGCCTCATCGGCCATCACTATCCATCGTCTTTAGATTTGCATTGTAGCGTTCCTGGCTTTCTCAGCTTCTCTGTTTCCCAGTGAGATTCCTGTGTGGACACAGCCCTGTTGTCTCATGCCCTTTTATAGGCATTGGTGGGGCATTAATGTATGCTAATTAGGAATGACTGGCATGTGCTTTCAACTTACGAACACATGGGATTCATCAGTGTAAGAAAACAGGTGTGAACAATTCTGTAGTTTAAGAGCACGATCATGAATCAGATGTAGACTTTTCGTAGGACCTTTCTTAAAAACAAACTAAAAATAAATTTAATAAAACACTTAGGAAGATGTTGATCAGTCCAGGGTGTACCCTGCCTCTCGCCCAGTGACAGGTGGGATTTGCTCCAGTTTCCC